TTATATTGCCAACACTGCAGCGCAACCCAAGCGCAATCGCCTGTATATGCGTGTGGGCTTCCAAACTATTATTGAAATATCAGTTGCTTGTATAGTTCTGGGGATTTCGTAGTCGAGCAGTCTCGACTAGAGCTTTCTTACTTGTTTTTGTCCAGTTATTTTGCTATCGATTATAAATCCTATCGAAAATTACTTATTAAATTATATCTCCTTCACTTTTACAGCTAGACTTTCCAAATCTTCAATGCAGTTTATAGTGTATAGAATTTATATTTTTGCTATTATTTAAATTACTCCACCAATATTCATTTTCATCAGAAGTAATCGATAAATTGACATGATTTTCTTATGAATACATAGGTTATGTTATTTACCAATTTTGGATTCAACGCTCCCTTCGCCAACTTCTTCTACTTTGGAACATACACACATTTAAACAATATGATCATGCTCTGAAAGTTTCATGAAAATATTCTTACTTTTCGAGAAATTATTCAACAAGTAAATTCTTATACTATTGTCCATATTGCAGCCCAAGCGCAGTTGCTATTTACATGTGGTTGCGTATGGATATATGTACACACATTTTACTCAGAGATTTTATGTCTACAAAAGAAGTTATTCAACAAATAAATTCTCACAATATTGCCCACACTGCTGCGCAGATCAAGCGCAGTCGCTGCTGAAAGATAAGGATATCAGCTTGGAGGGTTCGGGGTATCTCCTAGTCGAGCAGTCTCGACTAGAGCCTTCTTACTTATTGTTTTCTCTTGAGCGCATTGAATTGAGCTATTCTTGTGACTTTCTTTCGACGGACATCATGAGCGAGCGATACGATTGACGTTCGCGAAATGTGGCTCAGAAGTGAGAGAATAAAATACAACAAAAATCGAAATTATAGAAAATCCATATAGTATACATTTAAAATTTGGAAGCTCTAGCTCTAAAGGTGTAGGAGATATAATTATATAACTAGCTTTCGATAAGGTTTTTAGTCGATAATAAAATATTGGGAGTAGTCATCGATTTTTAGTGATAAACTCGATATGCGCGTAATATACACGGACCTAGAAAAAAAAATTTCAAGTCTCTAGCTCTTATATCTTCTTTGATCAACGCGATCATACATACGAGCGGGCGGAAGGACAGACAGACGGACAGGGCTAAATCGACTCAGCTCTGATCAAGAATATATACACTTTGTGGGGCTTACTACGCCTCCTTCTGCCTGTTACATACTTTTAACAAAATCCTTATACCCTGATTTTCCATTGAAAATGGGTTCAGGGTATAACAAATTAAACGTTCTCCGAGCGCGAACGAACTGTCTGATAGGTAAAGGTCTTATAACTTCTGCTTTCAATCAATCTGTTTCTACTTTACTAAAAGTTATAGTTCGTATAATAATAAACTAACTAGATAATTTTAACTTAACACATCAATTAATATTGTTTATTTACTGGTATTTTAGATTCTTCAACAACAAATGAATGAATATAAATATCACTACTTTTTCACAAGCTTTGACTTAGAAAATTTCGATCTAGAAGATTTCAAATATAACTTTGTAAATATAACATCATTTCGGCTTGTTGACATAGGCGATGTAGCGGTCAAAGAAATTCTTAAAGACATTGAATATCATAATCGGCGAATTCTGAATCGAAAGGAGTCTACTTATAAATCAAGGAAAACAGTTAGTATCGAGGTATGATTTGAATATGAATATTTTTCTTTTATATTGAACTATTCTTATTTTTAATAACTATTAGACAGAGGCGGCTCTGATGTTTGACGCCGTATATGTGTTTGCTATCGGTTTACAGTCAATTTATCCATTGCTTCAGCTATCAAATTTGACTTGTGATGATGAACTGCCGTGGAATGGCGGCCTTAGCTTGATCAACTATATAAATGCGGTAAACTTTCGAATGCTGTTATTATTATAACTGTTTCAATCTCCTCGCTTGATTGCACCTTTAACCCATAGAAAATCGGAAATCATGTTATAATATTTTTGTGATCAGGGAAACGGTCGTTATCGAGTTGGACGTTTCCTTTAATGGATATTACTTTTAATTTGTAGAACGATGAAAAATAAGTATAACCATAACCAATCCTCCAATATTGAAAAATTATTCAATTATTATTACTCTAAGATGTGTACCATATAGAACTCAAACTATTAAATTTATATTTTCCATTCTAAAAATTTTAAAGCCCAAATAAATTTTTACCTTAACTCAAAATAGGTTGAGTGGAAAGGATTAACCGGACCCATACAATTCAAAGAAGGTCAACGCATTCAATTTAAGCTCGACCTAATCAAGTTAAAGCAACATTCTATAGTAAAAGTTGGTGAATGGACGCCTCAAAATCATCTTAATATAACAGAGCCCTCATTATTTTTTGATGCTGGTTCAATGAATGTAACTTTGGTCGTAATTACTATATTGGTTTGTGACATATTTTTTAGCATTATAATTCGTGCTTTAAAATAGTCTTCAATTTTAGGAAACGCCTTATGTGATGATGCATTATGGAAAAAACTATACGGGAAATGAACGCTTTTACGGATTTTGTGTTGATATTTTGGAAAACATCTCGCATGAAGTTGGATTTGACTACATATTAGATTTGGTTCCCGATAGAAAGTATGGCGCAAAAGATCCAGAAACAGGTCAATGGAATGGAATGGTGGCTCAGCTTATGAAATATGTGGGCATAAATATTTTCAAAGACAACTTTTTGTACTGTTTTCTCTGATTTGAGAAATTTATTTCCTTTAGAAGGCGGACTTGGCTGTTGGTTCAATGACAATTACATATGCCAGAGAGAGTGTTATAGATTTCACTAAACCATTTATGAATCTAGGAATAAGCATTTTGTTTAAGGTATGAATGTAATTATATTTAAACTTTCATGCGTTATAAGTGTTATAGCAATTTCTGTACCCTGAATACTTTGAAAAGTATAAGTCAAAGTATATTGGTTTTGTTGAAATGTATGTGTAAAGCAGACGACGTGACAGAACTTATAAAGTGTATATTCCTGATCAGGAATAGATCTGTCTGTCTGTCCGTATTTGTAGACGCGTTTTTCGAAGCTAGAAACTTGAAATTTGGAACACATACTCGTGTATTTCTCGGATTTGGGACTTTACCTCAACTTAAAATTATGCGAACGATTTTGGGTTTTGAATTGAAGAGGCGCGCTTATATTTCAGTAGCTGACTGACTACACTGACAAGTGCACTTGCATTTTTTACACTTTTTTTTACTTGCATGCACCTGTAAATGTATGTACATACAAATATGCAAGGGATCGATAATCGCATCCCATTTTGCCC